GGGGGGGGGGGGGGGGGGGTATGGGGTACCAGGCCCTTTGATACGGGCTGTTAGGTCCCTGTACGACCGGTGTCAGAGCTTGGTCTGCATGCCGGCTGTAAGTCGGGCTCGTTCCCAGTGAGAGTTGGACTCCGCCAAGGTTGTCCTTTCTCACCGATTCTGTTCATAACTTTTATGGACAGAATTTCTAGGTGCAGCCAAGGTGTGGAGGGGATCCGTTTTGGTGGCCTTAGGATCACTTCTCTGTTTTTTGCAGATGATGTGGTCCTATTGGCTTCATCAAGTCGTGATCTACAGCTTTTGCTGGAGCGGTTCGCAGCCGAGTGTGACGCGGCAGGGATGAGGATCAGTTCCTCCAAATCCGAGGCCATGGTCTTGAGCTGGAAAAGGGTAGAGTGCCCTCACCGGGTCAGGGAGGAAGTCCTACCCCAAGTGGAGGAGTTTAAGTATCTTGGGGTCTTGTTTATGAATGAGGGAAAAATGGAACGTGAGATCGATAGGCGGATAAGTGCAGCATCGGCAGTGAAGCGGGCGCTGTATCGGTCTGTTGTGGTGAAGAGAGAGCTGAGTCAAAAGGCGAAGCTCTCAATTTACCGATCAATCTACGTTCCTACCCTCATCTATGGTCATGAGCTTTGGGTTGTGACCAAAAGAACGAGATCACGGATACAGGCGGCTGAAATGAGTTTTCTCCGCAGGGTGTCTGGGCCCTCCTTTAAAGATAGGGTGAGAAGCTCGGTCATCCGGGAGGTACTCAGAGTAGAGCCGCTGCTTCTCCACGTCGAAAGGAGCCAGTTGAGGTGACTCGGGCATCTGGTTAGGATGCCTCCCGGACGCCTCCCTCGTGAGGTGTTCCGGGCACGTCCCACCAGGAGGAGACCCAGAGGAAGACCCAGGACATGCTGGAGGGACTATGTTTCTCGGCTGGCCTGGGAACGCCTCGGGATTCCCCCAGAGGAGCTGGACCAAGTGGCTGGGGAGAGGGAAGTCTGGGCCTCCCTACTTAAGCTGCTACCCCCACGACCCGACCCCGGATAAGCTTAAGAAAATGGATAGATGGATGGAAAATAAATGATGGCAAAAGGACACCCTATGCTTTTTTTCATTCCTATTGCAAGTTTTATTCCAAAAACATGTTGTGATATATATCGTTATTGCCACCCTTCACAATACATATCGTGATATGAATTTTATGCCATATCGCACATTCCTAGTGTCTGGTACCTGCACTGTTTGTCCTTCATGGGTCCAAATGGACCAGTGTCAGGACTGAAGCTGCAACTTTCTCTAAATGTCTGAAGTCGTTCCAACGTTTGTTGCTCGAGTCTCGCCTTTGTTCAGGTCCGTGGGTTCGATGAGGTCCGGACTCTTAACGGTTCTGTCCTTTCCTTCAGGGTTCCATGTGGAGTACGACGTGTCCAGACCTACGGGACATCGTGTGAAGAGCCTTGGCGTCCTTTGCACCAAGTGCCGCGTCCCGGTATACGAGGCGGTCCGAGACAGGGAGGTGTACTCGGTGGTAATGCCGTCCTACCTGGTGACCGGCGGAGACGGGTTCAGCATGATTCAGAACGAGTTCAGGAAGCACGACAGCGGTGAGACTTCCTGTCCAGACGGGTTCGGACCGGTTCTGCTCTTCCTGACACATCTTCTCTGCTTCCAGGGGATCTGGACATCTCCGTCGTGTCCCAGTACATCTCACGGAGACGGAGCATATATCCTGCAGTCGAGGGACGCATCAAGATCGCCGCCTCGGCCTCTGGACTGAAAGTCCTGGTGTCTCCTCTGGTTTTGCTGGGCCTTGCTTGGACCGTGTGTGGGCTTCTGTGACCTCTGAACCGCTCGTGGACCCACGGATGTTCTGTTTTTACGGTCAAGCTTCCATCTCGTCATCTTTGAGCTCTGCGGTACCAGGTTTGGACCAGAACCAGCTCGTCAGTGCTGCAGTTCCTCTCCTGGCCTGCAGGCGGCAGCACCAAGAACCACAGCAGGAACTTTAATGAATCAATGAGCGTCAGCAGAACCTACCTGAGGCCCGCTCAGCGCTGAGCGTTCTGTTGTGCAGCGGCCGCAGATCATCATTTACCTTCTGTAGTTCATTGTAGAAGATTCATCACTGAGCTGAACTTCATGTTGTCATCTACAGAACTTTTATAAGAAATGCTTTGAACTGTAAAACAATAAAACAGCTTTTAAAGTCTTTTCACTTCCTGCTACAGGCTGAAGGTCAGAGGTCACTCTGAAAACCCAGTAGAACCATCAGACAGAACCTGTGGTACCATCAGAACCAGGTCAAGAACTTCTAGTTTTCAGAGACTGTTGGTTTGAGGCTTACTTTTTACTGTTCCTGCCTGAAGGGCTGCTGGGTGATGCCCCTCCCCTTTTCACTACCCAAAACAGGTGGAAATCACCATGGCAACCAGTGACTCAGCAGATTCCCAAGCATTCTTCTTCCATCGTGGCCTTCCCCACAGATCCTGATCGGACCGCTGAGGTTCTGGAGGATTCAGTCAGAGGGTATAAAACAGGAAGTGGACTGAACCTGGAGTTTCAGAATAAGAGTCTGGTTCTGTCACAGATTGTTACAGATCGAGTTCTGCTGGCCCTCAGAGGACACGCTGGTACCGTCCATGTGTCTCCTGAACACGACGGCTGAAATCTTGTTTTAGCTGCTTTGGTGAGTCAGAACGGTAAAGTTCGCCTGTTAGACTTCGGTTGTTAGTTCCATGTTGCTGAAGAATGTGTGGAGATGCCGAGCTCCTCCGCAGAACAAGGCCTCCTGTGTGCCCCCCAGCCGAGCCAGAACGGTTCTGAGCTCAGTCCGGGTCACAGCCGGGCCAGTAGAGTTCAGCTGTGAGAAAACAACAGCCCCTCACAGATCTGAGGTCAGTGAGAAGGCACTGTTTACAAGTTCGGCTGTTTATCAGAACAAGTTCAGCTAGTTAGGGAACAGAGCTGGACTTTGGGTTTGTGCAATTCATGTTTGAATAACTTTATTTACAAACATTTTTCATTTCCTTCAAAGTTGAACTTCAGCGACTGAATTTAGAGTTTAGAGCTTTTGCCGATTTTTTTAGCTTTTCTCTCCAGTTTTGCTCAGTTTAGCTTTTACCTACGTTTTTTCAAACTTTGGCTCAGTTCGGCTGATGTACAGCTAAAATTAAGCTAAATTCTGCAGGAAGACGTTGGGTGGAAGTCCTGTCCAACTTCTCAGATAAAGACAACAGATGAGAGCAGCATCAATAAATATATTTTATTAGTGACGAGACAGGAAGACTTTGAGAAACAGACGTTTTGACACATCTCGTCCAGGAAGTGGACCCAGAGTCCAGTCCGCCGTCTCGTTCACACGATGAACGCTTCCTTCGCTCCCTGCTGGGGAGGAGACATGAAGAATGAGTTTCAGTGGTTTGATGAAGAACTGAGTCTAAACATCAGAGAAGACGTTCCTGTTTGTACTTTTCTACATCACTTCATAATGCAGCTGTTCACGTTTCATTTTTTAATGTTTTATTTTAGTTCTTCTCTACTTGTACACTTCCTTTATGGTTGTCATCGGTCTCTGTTAGAACCAGGTCTCTGTGAGAACCAGGTCTCTGTGAGAACCAGGTCTCTGTGAGAACCAGGTCTCTGTTAGAACCAGGTCTCTGTGAGAACCAGGTCTCTGTTAGAACCAGGTCTCTGTTAGAACCAGGTCTC